CCCCCCACACACACATACCACTTGCTGTGTATTTGCCATACCTGGGCTAAAGCCAAAAACTAACCCTGTGGGCAGAGAAGGGGAAATCTCCAGAATGGGCCAAAGAGCACCTGACCTCTTCTTTGGACACTCACCTGGATGTTGTACTGATGGGCGGTATCGAGAATGGCGGGTACCAGGTCGTCTGAGGGTTCCCCGTTATCATCAGCCATGCCAGGTGGGTACCAGGACAGGACCAGGACGCCTGAGACACAACACAGTAGCTACTTCAGAGGCACACAGTACCCCCGCAACAGAGATGCGTTTCCTCCCAAACCGTCTCCAACTGCAAAATGGTTTCTGAATGAAACCTTGAGCGAGGCTCCGGCCAGGTTCACTTCCTGCGGATCAGATGCCAGAGCCTAGCGTCCCGGAGCTGTCCACGCCCGCGGTGCTGAAGCGCCGCGGCTGCGGGAACCTTTGCGCACCAGGCAGGAAAGGAGCCTGAGAAAAGCCAGGAGGACTCAGACTTCCGCTTGCATCCGCAAGAAGTAGAACAAAAGGAAATAGTGGATAATGCCACACCCATCTGGAAGCCACAGTCCTCTCTCTGGAGAAGAGGGGCCCCTCTAAGGTCCCGCAGGGATAAGAGCCCCACGCAGAGGTCATCTGATGCTTCCCGAGGGAAATAACATTTGTCTCGTAAAATCCTGAGGGGTAGCCTCTGTGTTATTTATCTGTGAATACCTCCCACCATTGTCTCTGTCATTCAACCCCTCTCCCCATTCACTAACCATCTCTAGATAAATTGAAATGTGTTCTAAACTCCAGGAGAATTCAGTGACACAATCCGAAAGAAGTGAGCCTCCCCACCCGAGCCTGCCTACAAAAGAGGCTCCCAGGGACCTCTTTGCAAGCAGAGTACTTGAAGAAAAGCTCCTGCCCCCCTACTGCAAACAGCAGGGTCCAACATGGGCAAACTTTCCTTCCTGCAGCCAGCAAAAACTGGAAGGGTTGGTGCCCTATCTTGTATCTGGTGTGAAAGCATTGGCCATCCCAGGCGTGGCTCCTCTGAACTCCACTCCTGCAGGGCCAGGATGCCCAGTCCTCACTTACCAAGCCTAGAAGCCCAAGAGACGTGAAGACTTTCTCCTTCTCCCTGCTGTCCCTACTTGGGACAGCTCGGAGCAAATGCCTTCTTCCACTGGCCCTCCCGGCAGCTCCGCCCTATGAAAGGGCCCTGCTGTGAGGGGTCAGATGGCAGAGATGGGGAAGTCAATACCAGGAGTTGGGGGGCGGCGCCGCGCGGTAAGCGCTGAATGAAAATAGAAGGGAGGGAGTAAGAAGCTAGGCGGAAGGGTGAGTGGGATCAGAGGCCCGGTGACAGGACCAGCAGGAGCTGGGGTGTGGAAACTGAGGAAGGGTGAGGCTGGGGAACAGGGCCGCCCGGGGGTGGGGGGAACTCACCGATGGCGGCTTCCTTGAGCTGGGTCATGTGCTCCCGCAGCACCTCGGGGTCCCGGGAGCTGTAGGGCCCCAGCTCCGGGTAGAAGCTGGAGCCCAAGTCGTCGGGAGGACTATGGCGGCCGCGGGGATAGCTGGCCGAGATCTTGGGGTCCCAGTGAGGCACCATGACGTGGTCCCAGTGAATGTAGTGGCCCTCGCGCCGCGGGCTCCCGTACCAGGAGTAGTAGAAGGCGTGCAGGTCCGAGTAGACGCGCAGACTCTGCCCGGGGGCGGGCTCGGCCTCCGCGGCAGCCGGG